TACCTTTTAAAGCCTGAGTGGTGAGGTATACGGTTAGAGAACAATGCAGTGCTATTATCTCTGAGTCTCTTTGGAGATGTTTCTGTGTAGGGAATGATCAAAATCATGGCACTTCGTCAATTTGAATAATCTCTGGTAAAAGATCCTTTTTTAATCTTGTGATTTAGCACTGAGGTTCATATTTAAAGAGCATTTTGCATAAACCAGATATATTTTCCCAGCTGTGATGGCATATAGGTAGTTTTTCCTTAACGGATGAGTAGGCTTTATGCTTGTAGATGGGCCATTCTGAATGAGGATGAGGAGATTCCAAAGTGTTGGGGAAGAGTCTGCATCACTGTCACTGGAGTTCCACTTGGGATGTGGTTGCAGTGACTCTGGAGAGGAGGATAAGAGTAGAATTGAAGACCAGGGTTTAAATGACCTAACAGGGTAAAAGTGGGTGCATATCAGGCTGAAGAGCTGAACATTACCTCAGAAGGAGAATGGTAGGATATGCTTTCTGGATACATGTGAATGTAGTTTCTGAGCTCCAGGAACAAGCTGTTTTTCTGTAAAGAGCTTCTCCAAGTGATCCAAGTGATTTATACTTGGCTCAGGGAAGGAAAAAAAAAATGCTGGATCCTTAGTCTTCGACTCCAATGTTGGAAATTCCCTTAATCTTCTACTTTAACTTTCTACTCAGTGTGTAAGCACCACCTTCTGAAGACAATTCATCACATCTTAAACCTAATGAGGGAAGAGATGGAGGCACATCTATCTCCAAAGAGAGGTGGGAGAGAACTCCAGTCCTAAGGCCTTAGCCAATAAGAGATCACCTCTCCTATCCTCTTTCTTGTGTCACTACTGTGGTTGGAGTAAGGCTAGAAGTTCTTTGGTCAGGGGTATCCCTATTGTAACCAAGGGAGATGGGATTTTTATGCTTTCTGTGGAGAGCAGAACATCTGCTATTCAAAAAGTCCTTCAAAAGATCTTCTGTTTTCTTGCTAAATATGGACCAAGCCAAAAGGGTTTCCTTAATAATGTAGGGGAGACACATGGGGATTAGTGATAAGGAAGAACTTCTTGAAAGCAAATGGTCTGAAATTTTGGCCGAAAGTGATCTTGGGAGTTTTTGTGGGGGAAAGGCCTAAGCCACACACTAGATTGTACAGTAGGTAGAGGATAGGCTTTGGAACCAGAGATACTTGGGTTCAAATCTTAACTCTGCTTATTAGCTGTGGGACCTTGAATGTGTTGACTGAACCTCTCTGATGCTTGGTTTCTTTATCTGCAAAACAGTGTCAGAATGCCAACCTCACAGAACTGGTTTGACTTTAAAAAAAAAAGAAAGAAAGAAAATGAATAAAGCCCATGGAAACCTCCTAGT